AAAAAATCATGTTTGAGTGTAAATGCAGTTTTCAGAAAATTCCCTGCTCAAAAGTTCTTGTCTCTTGCACTGATTTCTTCTTTTAACATTGTGAAGCTTCACTTAGAACCTTCTTAAGATCCAACAGTGCAAAATGCAAATTCTTGCACTTTTTTGACTGGTCTTAAGATTTTGATCAGGAGTGTATGAACAGCTAATGTTCTTACAAGTTCAAGCTAAAAGTAGTTAGCTTGCAGAAATTGCCCTTTTTAAAAATAGAAAACCGGTAAACAACCGTGTGAATGCTGACTCAGCGTTCACACACCTTTTGGCTTTTGAAGGATTATGTAAATATTAAGAGCTGAGTTCATCAAAAAATGATCAACTTGAAATAATTTCTGAACTCTTCAGGCCCTGCGAACACATTTCATTAGCATCTGTAGCTCTGTCAGCTGTGCGACTCCACGGATTAACGGATTAAATAGGAGAATTCCCCGAACGTTCAGCTAATTGCATGGATTTCCTTCAAGCGTTTTCACTCTTTTTTTTTTTTTTTTGCTTTCAGAGATGCCCGCTCTGATGGCTCTGAGGAAGAGGGCTCAGGGGGAGAAACCCCTCGCCGGTGCCAAGGTGGTGGGCTGCACTCACATCACCGCTCAGACCGCTGTGAGTACCTGAGGTAAACCCGCTCATACAGGCGACTCGCCGAACCAAACCCAACCACATGTCCGCTGCTGCTCAGGTGCTGATGGAGACCCTGGCGGCTCTGGGGGCGCAGTGCAGGTGGGCAGCGTGTAACATCTACTCCACCCAGAACGAAGTGGCAGCGGCTCTGGCAGAAGGAGGTAAGAATCAATCCCCCCGCCGTTCCGGTTTTCTGCTCCGTGTCCTTCGGCTGCTTTCAGAGYTTCGGCCTTTTCTTCAGGCTTCAATGTGTTTGCGTGGAAGGGTGAGTCAGAGGACGACTTCTGGTGGTGCATCGATCGCTGTGTCAACGTGGAGGGCTGGCAGCCCAACATGGTAACATTTTTTTATAACTACCGTACATTTTTATCTGTAATATTTGGCCACATGCTGCTGTTAAAGTGTAAAGAAGGAGCATATGTTGTGTGAATATATAATGATGTGAAAGCTGAGTCAGCRTTCACACTATTGYTTTCCTGTRGGTTTTCTCAGCCCAGTCATTTCTGTACTTTGTAATGTTCTAATAATCAACTGCAGTCATGTTTGGTTTTTGTAACTTTTTATAATTTTCAGAATATTTAACTGTATTTAAAAGAAAATTCCCCAAAGAAATAAATCAAGATCTCTTCATTTTTTAAAATATTGTTTCTGTTTGAAATCTGTTTCAGCCGAATTGCTCAAATTTTCTTTTAGGCTATTTTTAGCTGCTGCTCTGCTGCTCTTCAGCTTTTAGTTTCCATTTTGATACTTCTAGCTTTCACTTAGCCACCTTTAGCTTTGAGCTATCATTGTACTTTTAGCTTTTAGGCAAGCTTACCCTTAATTGGCTTTTAGCTGCTGTTTAACTTCCATTTTGATACTTCTAGGTTTTAGCTGCTGTTGTGTTACTGTCAAGCCTTCAGTTACCATTTAGCTAATAGCCAACATTAACTTTTGTTTATCGCTTTGCTACAGTTTTAAGTTTGGCTGTCATTTGGACATGTTTAGCTTTTAACCAGGCTTTGTTCTTTAAGCTTTTAGCTACTGTTAAACCTTCAGCTACCATTTAACTGTTAGCCAACTTTAGCTACTGCTCTACTACAGATTTGATTTTAGCTGCCATTTTGATACTTTTAGCTTTCAACCAGGCATTCCTTAYTTTAAGCTTTTAGCTACTGTTCTGCTACTGCTAAGACTTTTAGCCGCCATTAGATTTTAGCTACCGCTCTTCTATTTTAAGCTTTTAGCTAGGCTTTAYCTACTCAGCTTCAAGCCGCTGCTTAGCCTTTAGTTTTCATTTTAATACTTTCAGCTTTAGCTTGGTTTCTGCTACCTTTAGCTAATATTTCTCTTTTGCTATTGTTCTTCTGCTCCCATTTAGCTTTTAGCTGCTGCCTTTCTGCAGTTTAGCTTTAAGCTGACATTTAGGAATTTTTAGCTTTTAATTGAGCTTTCTTTGTTTGTTTTTAGCTTGATTTTTGTTGCGTTTTAGACAGCCTTTAGCTCTTTTTAGCTAATGACCTGCTTCTTTCAGCTTTAAGAAATCCTCTTCAGCTCTCATTGTGCATTTTTTCTTTTTTGAAAATGTTTTTTTCTTTTTTGAACAGCTTCTCGCCTCCTTCCTTTGAGTCTTTTCTTTTTTATTAATTTTATTTTAAATTAATGAATTTGTCCTTGATGATGTGTGTCCTGATCGTCAGATCCTGGATGACGGTGGAGACCTGACTCACTGGATTTACAAAAAATACCCCAACATGTTCAAAAAGATCAAGGGCATCGTAGAGGAGAGCGTCACAGGTGTCCACAGGTAGGAGGCGGAGCCTGTTCACACACTGATACCTACAACATTCATTTCAAATAATAACCTTTTGCTGATTGTGATGATTTCTAATAAATTAGATTGTATTTATTCAAACATGCTTTGGTCAAAGTTGCATTCGGTTTCTGATCAACGTGATGACATCACCACCTAGTGGTGGAAACGATACAACATGGTTTTATTTTTATTTCTTTAAATCAACAAATGCATTTTTATCTTTAAGTAAATGAATGATTTTTGCCTTCAGGTTGTATCAACTCTCCAAAGCAGGGAAGTTGTGTGTTCCAGCCATGAACGTCAACGACTCCGTCACCAAACAGAAGTTCGACAACCTTTACTGCTGCAGAGAGTCCATCTTAGACGGGTAAAATCTGAACGTTACGACAAAAACGATGAGACGTCGTTTTCAATCCTTCAGTTAAATAACAAGCATTCCTGTCTGTAGCTTGAAGAGGACCACTGACGTCATGTTTGGGGGCAARCAGGTGGTGGTGTGTGGGTACGGAGAGGTAAATCTGAGACACTGGAGAACGAACGACACTGAGCGCATGTCTCCATGTTTACTGTTTGTTCCCGTCTCTGTTTCCTCCCTCAGGTCGGGAAAGGCTGCTGCGCCGCCCTCAAAGCCATGGGCTCCATCGTCTACGTCACAGAGATCGACCCCATCTGTGCCTTGCAGGCCTGGTAGGTTTCGTTTAAAGCGTTCTTTGAAGTTTCGCAAACGAGTCGTGTTRATTTCACTCCTGTCTTCGTTGTCTTGAAACGAATGGCAGCATGGACGGCTTCAGGCTGGTGAAACTCAACGAGGTCATCAGACAAGTGGACATCGTCATCACCTGCACCGGTTAGTTTTTCACCTCCTCGGCTCACAAAGCTGAGGCTGCAAGCACGATGTGGCGTCACATTTTGTTAACGTTACAAAAATGATAAAACACCCAATTAGGTGGCTGCTTTTTGATCGGACCAGTTTAAATATTGTTGACGGTTATCGTCGAGTTATCTCTTTTTAATGATAGACTTCTTATTGTTGTTTGTGTGTTTTATTTTATACAGACCTAAAAGTAGATTCAGAGTGAAACACATTTTTTAGCTAAAATACTTCTGATTTTTCTTCGACTGTCCGGTTCCTCGTGTCCAATCTTGGTCCGTTTTCCCCGTTTCCCTGCTCCAATACACCTGACTCCATGAAAGAATTACCTCTTCAAGTTCTGCAGAGGCCTTTTAATCACTTGTTTATTCAAATCAAGTGTGTTTTAGCAGAGGRACTTATTAACTCTAGTCAAAGCAAGCATTATGGTTTATTTAAGTCAAACGACTAAATAATAATCCTTTGGTAAAATAAAATAWATATTTAATTTATTTTCATTTTTTGAGGTAGAAGGTGTGGGTTGGAAAGTGTGGAAAAAGCTGCAAATCTCTTTAACAGTACTGATCAGCAGGGGCGGAGCTAGACTTTTTTACAAGGGGTGGCCAATGTGTTATCTAGGGGGACACAAATAAATAAAACTACCCTGGATTAAAAAATTAAGAYGGCCACCACGGTTACATTTAAATGATTAGATTATATGTTTGTAAAGCCCAAAATTCGAACAAATTTGAAGGACAGATGTACTTCAGTCCAAGGAATAAGATCGTGGGACAATCTGGAAAGTGATTATAAAAATGCTGGCTCAATAAATGTATTTAAGAGAATGATAAAAGTTAGATTGTTGAAGAAATATGAATTTGTATAACGTGCATTCATAAGAACTGCTGTTCGAGAAGGGGTTAAAGTTTTTATATTTTGTTATTTGAAGACTAATATAGTTTAAATTTATTTATTTTTGAAAAAGGGGCAGATATCAATAAGAATATTTTTCTTCTTTCTGCTACCTTTCATTTTATTTGTGTTGTATTATTTGTATGTATAGCATTTGTTTTGTTTTTAAATGAAATTAATAAAATTTTAAGGAAAAATAAATAATAATAATAATAATAAATGAGCTGAAATTTGTTGTGGTGTAGCCAAGATTGATTGCTAGTCCCAGTTTAAGATAACAGCTAATGCTAATTCATCCATTAAATACACAGCTGAAAATGTACATGTTGATAGCCAAGAATAATCTTGAACAAAATATGAATGTAAATACAAAATCCAAGATGGCCACCAAAGCTAATTTCAAAATTATTATTATTTTTTTTTTGTTTAGAAAAACTGAGCTGAAAGTAGGTAAGAAGGTACAAGAGCAATCCCCGTGTCAAACTGAAATCTCAATTTTGAGCTTTACAGATATTAAGCTGAAATTTGTTGTGGTAGTAGCTGAGAGTGATGCCCAACAGATTCTAAAATCAAATAAAAGAATCCAAAATGGCCTCCAAGGCCAAATTCAAATGACAATTGAGTGTTTTTTTTAATACATAACGAGCTGAAATTTGTTGCGGTGGAATTTTTGCTTTTATATTAATTAAATGCTTTAGAAAAGTTGTTTTCATCCCCTCTTGTCAATCATTTGACGGTGGCCAATCAGATGCCACCCTGGCCACCCTTCTGGCTCCGCCCCCTGCTGATCACACAAGTGTAACACAGTTAATTACATTTTCTAATTAATTTAGCTGGAGTTCTCAGAGGAGTAATTACATCACGAGTGGCACAGACTTTAAAAAAAATGTGTTCAGCCTCCTTTTGCTTCCACTCTGACYGTCGCTGTGTTTTCCTCTCATCGTCAGGTAACAAGAACGTGGTGGTGAGGGAACACCTGGACCGCATGAAGAACAGCTGCATCGTCTGCAACATGGGACACTCCAACACAGAGATCGACGTGGTAA